GAAGTGGTACGATCAACAGGCACGATTCCGTCAACTACAACCGGGGCAAAAGGTGCTGCTACTGTTACCCACCTCCACGAACAAGCTCCTGGCAAAGTGGCAGGGGCCATACACTGTGGTAAGGAAGATGGGGCCAGTAACCTATGAGATTCACCACCCTGACAAGAGGAAATCGCACCAGACATACCACATAAACCTGCTGAAGGAATGGAAGTAAATACCCAACAAGACACCAGAACGGTCGCTAATGTTAAGGAAGGTGGATGATGAGGAAGAGGATGAGCCTGCTCGTGAGGTGAGACCTCAGAGACACCCTGCCACGGTGAACTTGAGCCATCTGAAGGATCCTGTAAGGGTTGAAATGCAAGACCTCCTGGACTGCTTCCCATTACTGTTCCATCAGAGGCCTGGACGGACAGAACTGTTACAGCACAGTATCTACCTTACAGATATAACCCCTTCACGACAGCGGCCGTATAGAATACCAGAGAGACTACTGAAACCCTTGGAGGAGGAAATTGAAATGATGAACCAGCTGGGCGTAATCGAACCATCAAACAGCGAATGGAGTAGCCCCCTTGTCATCGTCCCGAAGAAGGATGGATCCTTGCGTGTCTGTGTCGATTTTCGTAAGCTTAATGCCCAGTCAAGGTTCGACACCTACCCGATGCCTAGAATTGATGACTTGCTGGAGCGGATAGGACAGGCCCGTTACATCACCACCTTGGACATGTGTAAGGGGTACTGGCAGGTGCCCCTTGATCCAAACTCCAAACCATACACCGCATTCAGGACGCCAGTGGGACTGTTCCAGTTTACGGTCCTACCCTTTGGGCTGTATGGGGCACCCGCGACCTTCCAGCGACTCATGGATCAAGTTCTCAAGGGCTGCGCAGGGTGGTCGGCTGCATACTTGGATGATGTTGTGATCTACAGCAATACCTGGGCAGACCACTTGGAACATCTGCAACAGACTCTGGAGAAGATTCAAGCAGCGGGCCTATCCTTGAATGTGGTAAAGTGCGAGTGGGCTAGGCAGGAGACCAGCTACCTAGGATACCATCTGGGCAATGGTGACCTGCGACCTCAGGTATGTAAGGTGGAAGCAATTCAGCGCAGTCCCCGACCTAGGACGAAAAAGGAGGTGAGATCCTTCCTGGGCCTAGTGGGCTGGTACCACAGATTCATCCCGGACTTTGCTAACATTACAACACCACTAACTGACTTGCTAACCAAAACTGGGAAGAACCCGGTGGCATGGACTGGTGCCTGTGAGGGAGCGTTCAGCACCCTAAAAGAGAGGATGTGCACCAGCCCAGTCCTACAAAGCCCCAACTTCGATCAGCGGTTTCTGGTGCAAGTGGATGCTTCAGAGAAGGGAATTGGAACAGTACTAGCCCAGGGGACTGGGGGAGAGGAGAAGCCAGTCGTGTTTCTGAGTAGGAAGCTGTTGCCTAGAGAAACCAGGTATTCCACGATCGAGAAGGAGTGTCTCGCAATCAAGTGGTCCCTGGAATCCCTCCGAAATTACCTCTTGGGGAGAGAATTCGACCTGGAGACAGACCATCGGGCTTTGATGTGGATTCACACGATGAAAGATCATAACGCCCGCATCATGAGGTGGTACCTAGCTCTCCACCCCTACAGTTTTAAGGTACGACATCGGCCTGGGAGGCTGAACCTTGTTGCCGACTACCTGTCACGGTATCCGGACAGTACGCGGCTTAGAGACGGGGAAGGTGATGTGAAGAGTTGATCTTCAGCGCTGGAAACGGCAGTACGGGCACATATATTTAAATACATATACATACACTCTTACCTCATTCCTAACCCTGCTGTTTAGCCACCAGAGAGCGGGTGCACACGTAATCTGGATGGCACACGGACCTTTCACACACTCTTTACCTCCTTTACAGTATACATACCCCGGATCAACCACACAGACACCATGTTGTTAGTTTGAAGTTTATTTTTAGTTCGTTTGGTCTTGTCAAGTCAAGTCAAGTCACCTTTATTTATATAGCGCTTTTAACAATACAGATTGTGTCAAACCAACTGAACAGCATTAATTAGGAAAATAGTGTGTCAATAATACAAAATGACAATAGTAAACACTCATTTTTCAGTTAAAGACAGTTCATCATTGAATTCAGTGATGTCAACATCCAGTTCAGTTTAAATAGTATCTTTGCAATCATTTGCAATCAAGTCAACGGTATCGCTGGAAATTAAGTGTCCCCAACTAAGCAAGATTGTAGCATGGTAGAAGACTAGTTAGGTACGCAGGAGCTAACCCATTAAGGGCCTTATAGGCAAGTAATAATATTTTGAAACTGATACGGAATTTAATAGGTAGCCAGTGCAGAGACCGTAAAATTGGGGTGATATGATCATATTTTCTTGACCTGGTAAGGACTCTAGCCGCTGCATTTTGGACTACCTGTAGCTTGTTTATTGAAGATGCATCCTGGAGATGTTGTCCGACATGAGTTCCGCTCCGACTCTGCTGGGGTGCAGGCCATCAGTGCGAAAAAGCCTAGGACGCTCCCAGAAAAGATTCCAGTTATTAACAAAGAGCAGTTTCTGTTCTAGTAGCAAAAAGCCTACTGAACTTTTCATGTCCTCGTCGATACGTGGGAAGCGGTCCTGACACGATGATCGTCGTCGCGGGCGATGTGCTGCACACCGTCTCGATCAGGCTCCTGAAGTCCCTCTTCAGTGTCTCTGTCTGCCGCAGCTTGGTGTCGTTAGCCCCCACGTGAAGCACGACCGCTCCGGGGCTCTCGTCACCCTTCAGGATCGCGGGTATCTGCGCAGAAACATCGAGAACACGAGCACCAGGGAAACAGTGCCGGACGATGGAGTCTCCGATGATCACAGCATCGCGTTCCGTCTCGCGGAGGGGAGCGAAGCGGTTCCGGGTGGAGATCTCGAAGACCGGAGGCGGTGGAGGTGGAGAGGTTGTCGCCCGGGGCCTGGCTTGCGTCTTCCGTGGGCGGTGCACCCAGGGTCTGTGGTGTCCCGGCGCCGGAGTGAAGGACATCTGGGAAGATCGCATCCTGGGTGCACCGGGCCTGTGCAGAGAAACACACGGAGTAGAGGTGGTGGGAGAGTTAGCAGCGCGCTGTATACTTACCTCGGACTTGTGAGCGTCAGCCTGGGATGTTTCCAGCGCGGCTCTCCACTCTCTCAGATGGGTCTGCTTCGCCACCAAGTCACGTATCTGCTTCTCCACGGCCTCCAGCTCGAGCTGCACCGAATGCAGCTCGAACGTGTCCTCACCTGCACTCAAAGGTAGACACATATCCGCCATTAAAGCAAGTAACAGTGCGTAAAACAATGGTAATGTGTGTGAATAGAGTATTAGTAATGTAAGTGAGATTAGCGGCAACCACGCTGGCGATGCTAGCGGGCTATTTGCTAATAGCGGACTCGGGAAATCAAAATAAAACTAGTGATAACAAGGCGCTCTGATTCACGTTATAGAACTGAAAAGGATGGTGTATAAAATTGATTTTAAGATAAAAAATTAGACGACAAAAAATTAACTTGACGGAGCTCAAACTCAAAACACACGGCAGCAACAAACAGGGTGTGTGTGTGGGGAGTAGTCAGACTTCCACGTTGCGCCGGCCAAACCAAACGATCGGGCGGCGCCCGCTTATGACGTCACTGCCGCGCCGTGCCGGCGCAATGCGATCATAGTCCAACGAAACCATTGTTGTTTGTATGTGGGGAACTTTGATGTCTTTTCGGTGGAGAGAAAATATATTAAATGTTAACGATTTGTGTTATTAATATTTGTGTTCTATAATGGTTTATTGGTTTTGTGTTTTATAATGTGCTTGATGTTTTATGTGACGTTTATGAGTTAAAATGAGATTATAAGATTAAATGCTTACCTACTAGTGGTACCCTCCAGGTAGGGGGTGGACCCTGGCATATAAGAAGGGAGGCCAGGTTCACATCGGGGGACTTGTTTACCAAGTCAGCAAGCATGCTACTGCAGTGCCGTGAGCAAAATTGGACATATTGTATATTGTGGATACTCGTTTGTGCAC